AGTGCCCTATTTGGCCGGGAACAGGGGCCAACATTTGATTATTCTCACCCTCGAGATGTCTACAGTAACCTCAGCCATCTGCCTGGGGCCCCTGGAGCCCCAGGAGGTCCTCCAGCTCCTCAAGGTCTGCCCTACTGTCCAGAGCGATCTCCTCTCCTAGGTGAGTGCAAAAGGAAGGAGAAGGAAAGGACAAGTGTCAGGGTGAGGAGCCTTGGGCAGGCACGGAGTGGCAGGAATGGGCTGAGGTGGAAACAGAGGGGACTCTGAATTCAGTTTACACGAGGTTGTCCTGTTGAACCAAGCTTTCCACTGTCTGCCCTTTTATAGGCTCTGTCTGCCCCAGGCTTGGAATTATTTCCCCAGTTGATGAGCCCTGGTTTAATTAGCTGGTAGCCTTGTTCTTTTCTACCCCCACTGCACCATTATATCCTGTAAGGTAGGACAAAGTTACGGAGCCCTAAAAAAGGAAGGCAAGGGGCTGGGAATTTAGCTCATTGGTTAAGCACCTGCCTGGCAAGTGCGAGGTCAGAGGTTTGATCCCCACTAAGGAAGGCAGGCTAGGCAGGAACCTGTACCTTCCAGGCTTTTACAGCAGCAATGCAAGGAAACCCAAGGTTTAGGTGAGGCCTGGGGAAACTGAGCCTGGGCTCAAACTGCCAGGGCCAGAGCTATTCCCAGGCCCTGGTCCTCATTCTTTTCTTCTTGCCCCTCCAACTCTTGAACTATCATTCCCGCCCAACAGTGGGTCCTGTGTCGGTGTCCTTTAGCCCGGTGCCATCACTAGCAGAGATTGTGGAGCGGAATCCCCGGGTAGAACCTGGGGGCCGGTACCGTCCTGCAGGGTGTGAGCCCCGCTCGCGAACAGCCATCATTGTGCCCCATCGTGCCCGGGAGCACCACCTGCGCCTGCTGCTCTACCACCTGCACCCCTTCCTGCAGCGCCAGCAGCTTGCTTATGGCATCTATGTCATCCACCAGGTACCCCGCTACCTACCCCACTCTGACTGTGTTTTGTGTTAAGAAGCTTCAAGTAAATGCTGTTCTCCTCTCATCTAATGAGTCCCTGGGATAATTGTAAGGTGCCTGGCTACGGAATGTGGAGAAGCACCTGGCCTTGTTCTTCCTAACTTGTTAGTCCTATACTTCTCATTATTCTGTGGGGTACTCCCTCTGTCCTATAGTATCCCTTGGTTTTTCGTTTTGTAAAGTGGCTTTATTTTGAATTGGGAAGATGGGGGCTGAAGTTCTAGCTCTGCAACTTGTGACATGCATGACTTTGAGCAAGATGCTTAACACTCTAAAATGAGACAAACAAGTCAGGCATGGTAGTGCATGCATGTAATCCCAGCACTCAGGAGGCTGAGGCAGGAAGATCACTCAGCTAAGTGCCATATTAGGCTACACAGAGAGTTTAAAGCAAGCCTGAACTACATAGTGAGATGATTTCAAAAAATGAACAGCAACAATAAAAAAAATAGAACACCAGAGAAAGAGACAAAGAGCAATAGATTAATATATCATGCATTTCACACAGTTGTCAGGATGAAATGCTAAATAGTAGCACTTAAATGTTAAGCACATACTGCTGTGCAAAAATTAGAATGATTAGCTGGGCATGGTGGTGCACTCCTGTAGTCCCAGCCCTCAGGAGGCTGAGGCAGGTGAATCATTGCAAGTTTGAGATCAGCCTGGGCTACAAAGTGAGTTCAAGGCCAGTCCAAACTGTGTAGTGTGACCCTGACTCAAAAAGACACATACACACACACACACACACACACACACACACACAAAATGAGTAAATGAAAAAGATACCTTCTCTTTCCCTTCATTCTCTCACTACACATTCTGCTTAGATTTCCCTCTTAACACTTTTGTACTTCACCCTCCTTTATGCTGCCTATCACATAATCTGGTCTCCCTCCATTATCTTTCAGGCTGGAAATGGAACATTTAACAGGGCAAAGCTACTGAATGTTGGGGTGCGGGAGGCCCTGCGGGATGAAGAGTGGGACTGCCTGTTCTTACATGATGTGGACCTCCTGCCAGAAAATGACCACAATCTCTATGTGTGCGACCCCCGGGGACCCCGCCATGTTGCTGTTGCCATGAACAAGTTTGGATACAGGTACAGGGCACTGAAGAGTGTTGGGAAGCAGAGAAATTAACCATGTTGTGGAAGGGCAGCCAGTGGGATTGTGGGTAGGGATGTCTCTCCAAAAGACTTGGAATACAAGGATCTTTCTCTTCCTAGCCTCCCATATCCCCAGTACTTTGGGGGAGTCTCGGCGCTCACTCCTGACCAGTACCTGAAGATGAATGGCTTCCCCAACGAATACTGGGGCTGGGGTGGTGAGGATGACGACATTGCTGCCAGGTTAGACTTCCTGCCACCTCCTCCCTCCCCACCCCAAACTTTAAGACCACCCCTGGCCATAGCCTTCCAGTGCTAACCTTTAGCTCTCTGATCCTGTACTGAGTGTGTTCCTTTCCTTTAGTGTTTTCCACCCGTCAGTTTTTGCACACTGCTGCCCATTCTATCCTCCTGTTTTCTATATGTGGTTAGTTATATTCCTAGGAGAGCAGATAAGATCAATAGGAAATACTGTCATAGGATTCCAGCTGGAAAGGGGCCTACAGACAGTTTAGTTCAGCCTTTTGCTGGGCTTGCATCCAGACCACATCCTGTGAAGATAGGAGGAGAGGGGTTCTGCTCCATGGGGCCTAGAATTGCTTAGTAAGGGAAAAGGCCTGTGCTGTTTGCATTGATGTCAACTCATTTTTCAGCATGTGAAACTTTCTGACCTCCAGCCTCAGCTGACCCAGTTTAATGTCTTGTATGACTATTTTGGCTCGGTATGCTGGACCCATTCTTCCCCTTCCCCTTGTGTCCTCTGGGGTGACATTCATGTGAATTCTCATCCAATGCATGTGTGCAAAGCACCCAGAAAATTCAAAATTTATATATTATTTTAGCTCCTTGCTAGGCCATCACTATTTGCTTCTGTGTGAGAAGAATGAGATTCAGTGACCTGTTTCTGTTCCTTTCATAATACAGAAGCAAGGGAGAACAGTCGGTGTAGTGTAGCTATTACTCCAAATGACAGTTGCTAGGCTAGGGCCACTTGCCTGTGATCCTAGCACTTGGGAGGCTGAGGTAAAGGGATTGCTGAGGTAAAGGGACTGCTGAGAGTTTGAGGCCAGCCTGGGCCGCACAGTTCAAGGCCAGCTGAACTACACAGTAAGACCTTGCCTCAAACACACAAACATGAAAACAGATTTCTGGGCTAGGGTAGCTTGGTGGTAGAGCATACATTTAGCATGTACAAAGTCCTGTGTTTGATCTCTAGCGTGCACGTGTACACACACACACACACACACACACACACACACACACACACGGCTGTTTAAGTTCCTTGTATAATTTTGACAAAATGGCCTCTCTCGTTGTCCCTCCGACACTCACTGCAGGGGCAGCTCCTGGGGCAGGGGTGCATTTAGGAAGCAAAGGTAGGAGGTGCAAATCCACCTTTGCTAATTGCTTAAAGACCCAAGGTACTGCCTGGCACTGGGCCCTGTGGATTTGTTTTTTTGATACCGGGGATCAAACTCATGACCTTGCACTTGCCAGGCAGGCACTTATGCCACTGAGCTAAATCCCTAGTCCCTGGGTCCTGTAGATTTGGATACATCCAGATTTTACCTTCCCTTCAGTCATTTCCTTCTTTCCATTTGACTTTCTCCCTTGAACTTAGTGCTTTTTCTACCTAACAGGTAAGAATTGTCCTTTGTATACAGAAACATGCAGCCCCTTCCTTGCTGGCCTTTATTCTTGTTCATTGCCAGCAGCCTTCCTCCACTCTGCATTCTCCACAATCCTCTCTTTTCCCTTAGGGTGCGCCTGGCTGGGATGAAGATCTCTCGGCCCCCTACATCTGTGGGGCACTATAAGATGGTAAAGCACCGAGGCGACAAGGGTAACGAGGAAAATCCCCACAGGTAGGAAGGAGAACTGCTTGGAAATTATTACTGGATTCTCAGGGCTCTGTATCCCTAGCCAGGAAACTCCCAAGGGTCCCTAGTGTCCTCATTGTTGCTTCTGCATCTCAGTATCCAACTTTTCACCCTCAGGTTTGACCTCCTGGTTCGTACCCAGAATTCCTGGACACAAGATGGGATGAACTCACTGACATACCGATTGCTGGCTCGAGAGCTGGGTCCTCTCTATACCAACGTCACAGCAGATATTGGGACTGACCCTCGGGGTCCCCGGGTTCCCTCTGGTCCCCGTTACCCACCTGGTTCTTCCCAGGCCTTCCGTCAAGAGATGCTACAGCGCCGGCCTCCAGCTAGGCCTGGCCCTTTGCCTACTGCCAACCACACAGCCCACCGTGGTTCACACTGACTCCGTCTTGCCCACCTTAATCATGAAACTGAAAAGAGGGTTGTATACTCCCCACCCTCAGAGCTCCTCATGTTCTTAGAGGGATGTGAGGGAACTGAACTTCAGTGCTGTGCTGGGGGACAGGAGCCTCTTCGCACTGTTGGACTGGAGCTGGGCTCCTCTAGATCTGGGGACTCACTCTTTCTAGGGTCACTTGCTAGGCCTTATGAATGTGAATCTTTGATGTCATGATTTTATGTGATGACTCCTGGGAGTCCCCTGCCCCTGGGGTAGGAGCAGGGCTGGACCCCAAGCCCCTTCCTCTTCCATGGAGATCATTGTCTTTCAAGAATAATCTGGCTTCTCTTGGGACCTCTGTGAATATTTATTCTATTTATGGTTCCTGGGAAGCTGTTCGGTGAAGGAAACCCTTCCCTGGGTACTTTCTGCCAGTGCTGGAGTAGCTTCCTTTTCTGGTCCAGGCTCAGAGGGCTGGGATTTTGATATATTTTCTAATAAAGGACTTTGTCTTGTCTTTGCTTCTGCTTTTTTTGCATCATAGGCACAATTTGTCCCCCTCTCCCAACATGCCTACAGGTGACAGAATAGCTACTCCAAGTTAAGCACCATCAACTTTTATTTTCTTTTTCTTTTTTTTTTTGTCTTTTTCCTTTTTAATTGGTACCAAAGATCGAACTCATGACTGCCTGCTTGCAAGGCAGGCGCTTTATGCCGCTGAGCTAAGTCCCCAGCCCCTAATCAACTTTTATTTTCATGGGTAGGAGTTGGGGATTAGCTGTTAGGTCCTGTGCCCAGGACACTGACTGCTGCCTGGCGCCCACTCTCTATACAGTCATTGACAGCAACCCCATCATACGAGGCGCCAGCCAAAGTCAGAGGCAACCTTTGAGCAGCCAGGAACTGCATAGCCGACTCTGGAAGGAAATGAGGAAAGACGTATTACTGCTGGGCTCTCCCTTGCTCAGCCTTCCTCAGCCCAGCTGCATTCCAAGCTTACCCATTTTTTGCCAGTGACCTAGTGTGTACTGGGGGATGCAGTTCTGGGGAGAGAGAAGGAGACAGGAAAAATTTTATTATCTATTTTCTAAGTTACAGCTGACATAAGGTCAAATATATCAGTTGCTGCCTTCAGCTTCCCCATTGTAATGGGGAGCTGATGGGTTTGGCCCCAACTCACCTTGTGTAGATGGACCAAGAAGTGACTTGGTTGCTCCTTCAATCCTAATTGTGTGGCAACTGCTTCCTGTGCCTGCTGTAGGAACAGCTCCTGAGATAGGGCATGGCCTCTAGCTTCCAATGTGTGTAACCAGGAACCTCCCAACATCACCTAGGGAGAGAATACAGCACTGACCAGCCGGGCCTTGCCTATGGTGGAACACAGGAGCCCCTAAAACCAAAGCCCACTAAACCAAGCTGTCCTCTCTCACAGTTACTCTGAGGCCAGGGGAATTCCCGTCCTGCTCGGGGAAAGCAATGGAGTCATACACGATTCCCAGAACAACTGGGTCTTCAGAGGATGGCACCAAATGTCCAAATCCCTGGTGAGGAAGAAACTGATAGATTAGGAGAGAAAGGGCTCCTGAGTCCATGTTCCCCCTTCCTCTCTTTGTCATACCTGGATAGGCAAATGGGTTCCCCGGTACTGCAGATTTACAACAGCTACAGACACGGCAGTGATTGTACTAAGGACATGAGCCAGAGGCGCAGCCTCAGCAGGGAGCAGCTTACTGAGCTCTGGAGATGAAGAGGCCTGATTCAGGAAGCATTCGCACCACAATTATATCAGCTGTCTTTGGGATTAGCCTCCCGAAGCACTGGTTGGGTTAGGGGCTGGGTAGGGTGTGGTCCTGCTGGCCCAGAAAGGTACAGCTTGCTGGGCAAATGGAGGGGCCAACCCCTTACCTGAAGCTGGAATGGCACTAATAATGTGGTCAGCCTCCAGACTGCTATCCCCTAGAGAGACCTGAAAAGATGAAAATATTTGAGACACACAGGGATAATGAATTTCAGGAGTAGGATAAGACTTTTGTTGCCTCATTTTCAAGTATTCCAGGCACTCAAGTGTCAGGAAGGACTGGGTGCTGACCCAGGATGAAGACACTGAATGACTGTCATCCTCACAAAGATCACTGCTCTGTATGCACTGGGAAGTGGGCCAGATGTCAGTGTAGCCACTCTGAAGTGTTCAGTGAAGCTAGATTGTCCTTTCTCCATCCCCAAGTCACTCACAAGCTACTTCTATCCACAGACTTACATCAAAGGAGTCTTTGAGGAAGATTCACAAGAAGGCCTAGCAACCTGGCGTAACTTTTTCTGCATAGCTTCTAAGGCAAACAATGTGTAACTCCAGTTCTATTACCCCTGGCCTGGTTAATCCTCTTGACAAAGATAAAAACACTGACACAGGTTCATTATACTCCAGAGGGTTCCCCTACCTTCCAGTGCCCTTCTGCATGGAGGCTGAGCCCACAGACTGGCTGGCCTCTGAGAACATGGACCCCCCTACTAGTCAGGTGGCTGTCAAGGGCCTGGGGCAACATCTCCAGTCCTCCTCTGAGTGACCACTGGGTCCAGCGCTCAGCCCGGGCCTGGCGAATAAGTGCTGAGTCTGGCTGTGGCCTCCGCCCTGCAGCAAAAGAAGCAAAAAAAAATAATTATCAAACCAGCATTTCTTGCACCAGACCCTTACTTTAGCAATTCTTAAACATCTTCACCCTTTGAACCAAGCTCCCCTCACCTGTCCCGAGCAGCAGCCCCAGGATTACAGAACGATGGCTTTGCTCAGCTTGGAAAAGACTGGGAAAGCAAGACCTGACGCTGAGCTCCCGGCTGTTGCCTGCAAACACCCCACGGCAGAGGCTGTCCATGGCTAGAGATGCCACCTTGAGGGTAAGACTGGGAATGAGAGGCCAGGGAATAAGCTGCACTGGTTTCTAACACCCCTGCTTGGTGATGAATGGGGTGGGGAGAGGGTGAGTTGGGCAATATTCCCACCGTAACAGAAGGATGGGAAGGAAAGGAAGGCATTCACTCCAGACACTGGAGATATCCAGAATAGGAAGAGAAGAGGGCATCCCTAAGTGATACAAAGAGTCGCTGCGGATAGTCCTGAGCAGGGGGCTCTGCAGCTGGTTTGGTATGGGAGAGGTCTGAGGCCTCTGATCAGTGTCACCTCAGGTCCAAGGCGGCGCTGGGCAAAACTGTGCACGGTTTCATCAGACTCTTTGCCCCGAGGTTTGGTCAAGTCTCTCAGTCCAGCCCAAAATAGAGGTTTGGAGAAGGGGGGTGAAGGGCGGAGGAGCCCCCTGCATAAAAGAAGGTACAGTGAAGAGGGACCGTCTGATTTACCCTCTAAGCTCCATGGGGTCATTTCCATTCAATTGGGTAAGAGGTGAGGAGGGAGAGTGGGGGTGGGAGAGGGTGAAGAGGTGGGGGTGGAGGTAACTAACTTCAAGGATGTGAGGATGAGGCTAAAACGGAACGATGTGCAGTAAGGGAATGATTGTTACCTGAGGCCAGTGGGTAGGAGATGCAGCGCACCACCCACATACAGAAACCTTTTCTGGGCAGCAGGATGGTCTCCCCGGACAGGCAACACTTCTGAATCCAAGCCAAGCTCAGACACCTGCTCTCCACCCCCCGCCCCAAAAGAGAGTAGAAATTAAGGAAAGGTCTGGCTCACCAAGTATACTTCCTCCCCTCTGCTCTATACCCTTCAGTGAAAGCCCATTCTGCCATCTATCTCTCTTCCACATTCCACAAGCCTCTTACCAGGAGTAAAGTCTGGGCTCCCAGCACTCCAGCCGTGCGAATTCCCCTAGGTCCAAGTTCAAAGATTGCACCATCCGGCCCCCGAATCGAGCGGATCCAGCCTCCCAGACGTTTACTGCCCTCCACCAGGACCACCTGGCAACAAGTGGGTGATACTGTAGCAGTATCTGTAGCTGGGATTGGAGACAGGGGTGGGCCGCGTCCCAGGGCCAGGATTCATCTAATTTTTGTTGGAAATATAAGAGTATTAACACTTGGTGGCTTCCAGCGTAGGTGGGGTACTCACCTTTGGCGGGCAGGAGCCTCGGCTCAGATAATAACTGGCGGCCAAGCCACTGATGCCTCCGCCCAGTACGACCACGGTACGGCCCATCAGAAAGCCTGGGGAAAGCGGGCGATACTGACAGGCAAACTGCGGGGCGCCCTGCACTCCAGAGGCCTCGCGGTTCCGCGTTCCACCCTAGGCCACTTAGTAATTAGAGGAAAGTGACCGCACCTGAGTGCTTGGGCGGGTGGAACAACGAGGTTTTCACCTGGGGACAAGACTCATCCACCAAATAGCGAGAAGCACAAGAAAATGAGGGATCCAGGAGGTAGAGTCCAAAGTCTCTCTTCGGCTGGTTCAGATAAGGACCACACCCGCGTTATCTGTTCTCGCAGGCCTCTGTAGCAGCATCTAAGTCTTGAGGGCCTTTTGCTTTCCGCATCCCACCCAGTTAAGTATAGTACTTTCAGTCGGCTGCCCCCGCCCCCAACCTTTTCGGTCCCTCCGGCGATCCGTCTACTCTATTGGCGACACTAGTCAGTTTCTCTTTTCTGCTTCTGGATTGGTGAGTCCTGGCTCACATTCACCAATGAGAGCACTGAATTGGCAATGACGCCATGAGGCGGGGCGACGGCAATCTTCCAAGTCAGATCAGAGTGCCCGGAGGTTAACCTGTTAGGTGCTGTCTTGTAGTGAGTACCGTCTCCGTCCTCCTCGGGGGTAAGACGGCGAGAGGCGAGTCCGGGAGTTAGCATTCCCCAGCTCAAGCTTCCCAGGCCCAGTTAGGGTAAGAACCCTGGAGGGAGGGCCCCATGAGCATTGGTGTTAGGAAAGGTAGATAGGGACACTAGGGGCCAGTCCGCGGGGAGGCGGCTCCATAAACAGCTCCTTGCTGTTAGCAACAGACGGGGCCTACGGGAGCTAAGGCCGCCCGGCAACGTAACTGTTGTTTGTCAACAGGGGTTTCGGACGTGTCGCTCTCGAGGGGCAGCCCCCAAGTTTGGCAAAACTTCTCGCTTCAGAGCCTGCGGTCTACTTTCAGGCTTCCCAGCAAGGCCTCCGGTCTAAAGATTTGCCTTCCAATACTAAACCCTTCACTGCCTGGCGCACCCGTCCGTCCCGCTCCACTCCTGACCCTTCCCGCCGGGTCCCGAGAGCGCCCCTAGCTGTTCAGAGGCGGAACTGGGTCCCAGGGTGACTCGCACTGAACTGTTTTGTTATCTCCACCCCTAAGTGCCAACACAAATAAGAGCATCACTTTTTCTTATTAAATTTATTCACAAAAAGTGAGATTGTAGAGGTTCTGGGGACTGTACATGGTTAAGGGACTGGTGAGCTCTATACACGGGGCTGGGAGAGAAGGGAGCCTCCAGGTAGAAGTGTAATCTTTATTAAAAAAAATAATGGGAGCTACAACCACCCCCTCCCCCCTCCCCGATTAAAAAGACACAAAAATAGACGTCTCTGAGGTAAATGGGGAGGCTGGGAGTTTAAGGGTGTTAGAAGGGGTTTTCAGGTGCCAGGGCTTAAAGGGGATGTCACAGGCACCGGGATGACTCCTGCATTAGTTGGTAGAACAGCACGTAGCCCTCACTGGATGCCACCTGATTTTCACTGACGGGGGAGACACTAGGAAGAAGGGAGATGGAGGAGTTGTAGTCATTTACTGTATATTCCCTCCCCACAAGACAAGGTCACAGTGTTCAGGAAGAGATAAGGAGTGACCACCCACCTTTCAGCAAGCACTTTGCCTCCTGGGGTTTCATAGAAAGGGAATGTTTTAGGGCTGCAGTGGGAATAGGAAAGGAGTTGAATAGGAGGCTGTTCTCACCGAGAGTCATTGTAGACATGCCAACCAGTCTGGCACCGGCACAGTGCTGTGTAGTGGCCATAGTGAACACTGCCCGAGTGGTTGCAAAGGGCATACAGCTGGTATATGGGGCTTCCTGTGGGGTTAGAGATGATCAAGTTCTGCGACAGAACTGTGGCTCGTCCTGAGGTACTTTAGGACCCTCCCTGCCATACCCACCGGCTTTGTCACTGGCAAAATCCCCTAGGCTCAGTCGCTGCAATGGGAAGTCTACACCTACTGAACTTTTTTTGATGGAGCCTCGAGAGGTGGAAAATCGATTCAGATCTGAATCCCAGTTAAGGAGCATTTATGAGCGGAGAGTGTCTAAGAGGGATTGCCGTTCTAAATGATGTCCCCCAACACATATTGGGGAAAGGTGCGCTGATAGGCTTTTCCAAAGGAAAACTAAACTCTCAAACATCTACAAACATGGAGGCTGAGGAAAAAGAATGCATGGGAGATGGCCTAAGATAAATAAGAATTTAACGATTAGGATATGGAGCACAAGGATTCGAGGGAATCTCTGTACTGTCAACTTTTTAGTACTTCGTGTTTTCTGCCGACATCGATCACATACCTGAACAAATGGCAAACAGTGTTAGGTTAATGTGCTGTCACCTCAGCTGGCTTTTCAGACACTGCAGTCCACATTCAAATTTAGTATACTTGCTATTATTTCTGTATCCTCTAGACCACAACCCTTTGGCCCTATGAGTAATAGGATATACCTGATACAACCCAGAGAAATAATATATTCCACATTCAAAGGCAACATGCATCCCCTTTTATGTATATATCCCCACCTCCCACCCTTATTATTCATTGTGAACCTCTACATACTGGGGCATTCTCTGATTCCAGCTCTTCTTCCTTGGTGAAAAGGCTGAAACAATCACGCAGAGATACCTTGCCCCCTGCAAATCCTTTCTGGGGGGAAAGAGGAAGTAAGGGTCAGCAAGTTCTGAATTTCCTTCTCCAATTCTTCATAGTCAATTCAGGCTTCAATTCTGCTCTAGAGACCCACAAGGTTCCCACCCACTCTCTGGGAGTAGGTAGGTTTGGGTCATAGAATGTGTGTTCCATCCACCCCAGGAATCCTCTGGAATCCCACCTTGGGGATGGGCAGGGACAGGTCACAAAAAACCTCGAAGGTCGTGGAGCGATACCCACAGGCCTGGCACTTGAGACAGCTTTTCAACTGGCCCACAAACAGATCTAGACAGAAGCAAAAGGGCAGCAGAAGTCACTGCTAGGTGCCTGAGACCCTTTCTTGGACTCTTCTCTCTTCCCACCCCTTACTAATGCTCCTAACAATGTGACACCATCTCACATCATCAGCCAGTCTGGTTCCCAAGACCCCTTGACAACATCAGTTTTTTTTCTCTCAAACCCCCTCCCTCCAGATTTTTCCCCTTGCTTTGTCCCATTCCATACCCACAATCTTGCTGTCTTCTCTCTCCAGGTAACGCTTCCACATTAGGTTGGCTCGGTCATCATCACTACCACAGATCAAGGGAAGTGGGGGAGGGTACCCATGAGACAGCAGGAATACTGGGTATCTCCAACACTTGAAGTGATCCACAGAGTGCTGTACACACCAGCTCCTTTCCTACATTTCAATTTTATTTTGTGTGTTTGCTTTTTTTTTTTTTTTTTTAATTCTATTTTTGAAACAGGGTCTTGCTACATAGTCCAGGCTGGCCTTGAATTGACTGTGTAGCCCACACTGGCCTAGAACTTGCTGGGATCCTCCTGTCTCTGCCTCCTGAGTGCTGAGATTACAGGAATGCGCCACCATGCCCAACATGCTCCCTAAATTTCTAGTTAAAGGAGTAATGTTTCAGGGAACTTTAGAGAGAATTCAAAGGAAAAGGAAAAGAAAGGGATGTACACAAGAGAAGAATGTGCTATCTTCCTCTACTTGGCGTCAAGCCTTTTATGCACTGTGCTGTAAATTATCCCCTCCTCCCTCAATTTGCTAACATATCTAGCACTCTCTTCTGTCTCCATCTGTATGTACCAGCCTCCCTCCTCCTCCTCCTTCCTTCCTTTTACTTCCACACTGGTTCTCAAACCAATTTTTTATGCTAATGGATTTCCTCTCATTTTAACTAGCTCAGTTCCATGAAAGATGAATGTAGACACTGATTACCCCACAGAAGGGGGGGACCCTTACCTTAATTCAGGTTCTTCTAGCAGAGCCCCTCCTCGGCGGGGCAGAGAGGGAACTGGACCATTGGCTAGAATAGGTGGAGCTCTGCGGCCTCGTCGATTGATTTCAAGATGGAGCCGCTCCATGAGGAGCTTCAGGAACTCTTGGGCATCCTGTTGACTACAGCCAGACAGAGAATATGAGCAGCTGACCCCCTTTCAAGCCTCTGCTCAGACAGGGATTCGTGCTTCCTAGATTGAGAGCATGTCATGGCTCAGAACAGTGCTGCTGAAGTCCCAGCTTGGCCTAACCCCAGATATGGCCAGTGAGAAATTTTATACCCTCCAGCTCTCCCACCTGTATCCAGAGAAGGAGGGAACATATTTCTGGAAGACAGCCCGGAATCGAGTAGGATTCACAGCTTCACAGGAGTCAGGGTGCCACAGGGCACCAATCACATCTGCAAAAGCTGTTAGGATGGGGGTGAGGAAGGGGAACAAAAATTAATGTCTCAAGGAAGCAAGCAGGAGGAAGCTCAGAGGGTAAAAAAACAACCCCTCGGGAATCAGGCACTGGGAAGGTGGGTACAACTGTCAGATTAAAGGGCTGGGGACCAGAAGCATTGGCAGACAGACCTACAAGAGGCTTCGGGGAAAAGGGAACAGTAGTTGTTACCCGACCTTCAGTGAGTTCTTGGGCTCGGCCCCCTCCAGGCACCTCTTGCCGGAAGTCCCTTCGAAGACAGAAGTCCCGAAGAGGCCGAGTGCTGCTCAAACACTGTAGCACAGCATTCAGGAAGCACTGGGGAGCAGCAGGGACACTGCTGTTATCTCTAGACTGACGCCCAGCAGCCTTAGAGAGAGCTTCAGTGCTCTTCCCATACCTTTCCCAAATCCACAGGTTTCTCCCCCATCTCCACCCTCCCAAGCATCATTTCACATCCATTTAGAGAGGAAAGACAGAATGGCTCTTACTGTATTTCCCAGATTTCGGAGGCCAACATGACCAGAGCCCAGAAGCAATGTGTGATGATGAGCCTGGAAGGTCAGAGTACAGTCAGTAGGTCCCCCTACATCCTAGCTGACACTGAAATCTTTCAACAGCATGCTGCCCACGGCCCATTCATGCTCAACCTCTACCCTCTTTCCCTTTCTGGTCTCCCTACCTCACTGGTCATGAGCAGTAAGCCCATCACAGCTGAGTGCACCACGGACTCAGCCATGGCTGCCCCACCTATTCCCCACTTACTCCTCTGCCCAGCTAGGCGGCGTTGCAGCTCCTGGGGCAACTCCCCAAGCACTGGCATGGTTGCCCAGCTGCTCCCCACTCCCACCTTGCTGCGCCCAAAGCCCCCTCCTGCCCCCGTGGTCCTTTCCTGCACCCTCTCCTGCTGGCTCTAACTGCAGTCAGGCTAGCTCACTTAGCTCGGGAAATGGGCAACCACATTAGCTCAGATGTGCTGATCCCGCCCCTCTTCAACTCCAGAGATTAATTAGGCCTAGAGAGAGTCCTAGGAGACAAGGTGCAGTAAGGGAAAGAAAAGGCCTGGGGACTCAAAAGAATTCTAAATAGTTGGGTTAATTCCCTGCGGACTGAAATAGCACACCATGCTTTGGAGTCACAGACAACCCAGGAAAAGGTCTAAAAGGCCCTGGAAATAAGGGAGATGAAAGTCTACTGTTGTAATCAGGGGCTGAAAAAGGAATTTTGGGAAAAGGGAGACAAAAGTGCCAATGGATGGCAAGAAAGCTGGAGATATACAGCATAAGGCTGCAAAGGTCATGTGTGCTGGCAAGTCCTTACCATCTTATCATCAGAGTAGAAAGGCTCGGAGGGCCGGGCAGATATCACGTGGAAGGAACTATGGGAAGTAGGGGGCTCTGTCCGTATGCTGAGCAGAGTGGGGGGTCCAGGAAAACCCCCAAGTCGGCGGAGAGAAGTGCTTCGTCTCAAAGTAGGTGGCTCAGGCCGGAGTGCCAAGCGGCTCAGTGCAGCCCCCAGCTCTCCGGCACCATGGTGCCCTCCCAAGGCAATCCCCATTGGACGCAAGTCCCCACTGCTCACAGATTTGGAACGGGTTAAGTTGGTCCGGGATGGGAGAGGCAGAGCCACAGCTGGTGGTGGTGAGCCAGGTAGAGGAACCCCATGATCTGCCCGAAGGGGGCCTCTTGAACGACAGCTTGAGGTCCGTCCCCTTGCAAGCTCCAGTTTCTTGAGTCGTTCATCGGGGGGACCTGGCCGGGGAGGTAGAGGTCGTAACATGGGGTTTGGCCCAGGAGCTGGGTTGCGGCGCTCCCTGCTGCGAGCTCGGGGGGCAAATGGTAACTTGGATCCTACTCGGGGCTGGACATTAACAGGTGGCTCTCGAGTCCGGCCTAGGCGGTGCTCCGAAGCCTGGGGCATTGTAGACACCGCAGGCTGGACCTGAGAGAAGAGAGAGTCAATATTTGAGTTTTGGAGGAATATGAGAATTTAGACTTCCATACTGCCTTCTCTGTTCGCTGAGGGAAAGAATCAGGTCTATATCAGTAACTGTAACCCCAGAACCTACCATAGTGTCTGGCACAAAGCAAACACTTAGTATCACTCAAGTAAACAAATGACTAAATGACTAAGCAGCTCATGACTTTGACCCTTTCTATATCCCACCTCTCCCCTACAGGATACAGCTCTACTGGAAAGCCTTTCTCAATCTCACTTTCAACTGTCTTTACATTCTATAAACTGGTAACAAGAGCCCTCCTCATTCGTAGATAGTCAAGTAAGATGTGCCCTGAACATGTGGTCAAATAGGAGTGTGGATACTAGGATAACATCCCAAAAGACAGCACTCCATTTTCAAACCCATCAGGTTGCAGATAAGCAGATTGAATGGGTGATTTGCAACCCATTCCCTCCCCCACCTCCAAGCTACGACATGGACTGAGGCTCAGAGGGCAACAGACTGGAAGATACACAGCTCCTAGACCACTAATCTCTGCACCCATCCCACCACGGCAGGGCTTTACCGGGCCCGCCCCCCTCGAGGGCAGAAAGGCCGAGGCAGCTGATTGGCTACAGGGTCCGGCAGCGTATTCCCCGCAGTCCTGGCATGCTGTCCCTGTAGCTCAGTTCTCTTAGGCCACACTGGGTCCCTACGAGCCTCTGCCTTTTAGGGAGAACGTCTTCTGGGGTCCAGAACTGTCTTCCTCGGCTCCCCGCCCCCAACCCCATCATGATGCCCCGGCTCATACCTGTCCCCCGTTGAGGCAGCGGGGGAGGCCAGGCGGGACCAGGCTCCAGTTCAAGGCCACCCCCTCCTACGCCCGTGCAGCCCCACTGCGGGCCAGGCTGCAGCTTTAACCGCAGTTGTTGCCCAGGTCACTCCCGCCGCAAGGGCCGCCGCCATCTTTGTTGGTCCCGCCCGGCCACCGGCCACCGGCTTCACCGTCTCTCAATGCGCCTGCGCACCCACATCCAGCTGCCTCCACCCGCCTCCTCGGCGCTTGCGTGAGCCCGCCCCCACGGCTCCATGGCAGACACCATGGAAACGAAGCCAACTTTAGAACCGCTAGTTTCCAGCCTGGGCCAGAGTGGTCTTTAAACTGTCGCTCCAAAGCAAGTTGCACCAAAGCGAGTCTAGCTTGCAGTCACCCATGCTGTGGCACACGGGATTGTAGACCTGACAGTCGAAAAATGGTCAGGAGGCTTGCAGCCCGGATTCTTTCGTCAAGCAGAGTGGCATTGTGGCAAGCTGCAGGCCTGGGTCAAACCTGCACATCAGTGAAGAAGCATCTAGCACTCTGCGCTCGGACAAGAAGATCCTAGGAGGCAGGGATGCTGGACCTGTAAACCATTCCTCAAGTTTCTTGCAGGCTCAAGCAACAGAGTAAAACATGGTTCACTGCTGAAGGCAGATCTTGGCAGCAGGGAGAACAAATCTTTCGTTCCCTAGCTCTGGAGGTCATCTTCTGTTTCCCCCTCTCTAGTGCCTCCACTTTTTAGCCTGCTCATCCTGTTAAAAGCCACCAATGTAGTGAAGAGTAGGGGCCCACTCCTGTAATCCTATCACTTGCGAGACTGAGGCCAGCACAGGGTTACATAGTGAGTTCAAGGCCAGCCTGAACTACATAGAGACTTGTCTCAAAAAACAAAAACTAAACTAAACATAACAAAAGCCATCAATGAAAACCACACGCTACCACAGGAAGCAGCTTTTATTGATGGATTATCTCCACAAATCAAAAGGGCAATGAACTCATTTTCAGTTTCCCCCTATCTCTCCAGAATCAAGGCCTCCATTGGTCTATCTGGGGAAAGGATATAAATTGCCTCTTGGTTTCCCAAAGCCCAAGTCTCTGTCTGTACAGCCTAATTTAGAAACTCTGATATTAGCATGTTGCTGCTTTTCCCCCCCAGGGATGCCCACAGCAGCTACTTAGTAACAACCAGAAGTGGAGGTATAAGAGGAAGCTGTCAGTAAGTAACAAGAGCATCCACAAGAAAATGAGAACATGGTCTATCAAAGGTCCCTGGAAGCTTTCTCAGTGGTTTGAGCCTTCATTGTTTGCATTTCTCTTTGTGCTGGATCACACCCTTCTGAATCAGATCAGGAATTTCCACTGCCAGCCATGGACCCAGCTGTAATGCAAGGGAGATCACATGAGATTACTATCATGGAGTCAATGCCCTTGTCCATTGGTTCTAATTCTGCAGAAAAGATTATAAGGGAATGGTGCCAAAGGGACAACATCATTACTGTATTCCTTGATCACTCTCATGTACTTTTCTTATACTGCTCAGCCCCTTGCCCAGCCAATTTACCAATTATACTAAACTTACCCCCAGGGCCATGAGATGAGCTAGTCCAAACTTGGGCACATTCCTGGCCCACAGAGGTTTGAAGTGATCTGTCAGGCATATTTTGCCACCCCTGTAAGAGGGATAAGAGGTGTTGACACAAAATGTTTACCACGCGGCATCGCAATCTCTGGGATCACAGACCACTACTACCACTCAGAATAGAGAACAAAGTCAGTAAGTACTTCGCCCAATCTTGGAGGAGGGAGGTCTGGAGCCCCTCTAGGCCAGCAGATTCTGGGAAAATCTGCCTCTTGAGTTCTGCTCTTAGGGCTTCTTTGGCTCATCTCCTGTGTAGTGTTACCTGTACATCTTTGCTGTCTTTCCATCCAGCTCGGGGACTGCAATTTCTGGAGCAGTAGTAGGATATGTGATAGGAATCTGGAAGAATTATAAAGACTTAATGAAACAGAGATTGAGATAGGAACTAATCTAATCAAACATAATTGGTTGAAAATGTTCAGCAAAATCCTCAAGTAGTATGAACATACCAGGATTCTGGATATGAAAATTAGTAACTATTATTTGTTTCAAACCTCAACTTCCTCCTCCTATTTTAAAAGGTTTTTTTTTTTTTTTTGGTGTTTTGTTTTGCTTTTGTTTTCTGAGACAGGGTCTTGTTATGTAGTTCAGGTTTGTCTTGAATTATGTAGCCAGGCTGGCCTCAAATTTGTGATTATTCTTCTGCTTCAGCCTCCCAAGTGCTGGGATTAAAGGCATGTGCCACCATGCCCAGCTTATTTGGTCCTTTTAAGAAAGGTTAGGTCAATCAGGTGCAGTTGGCTGATGCCTATAATCCCAGCATTCTGGAAGGTTGAGGCACAATTGCTACTTAAAACCCAAACTGAGCAATTTAGCAAAACCCTGTCTCAAAATAAAAAATAAAAAGGACCGAGGAGGTAGCTCATCGTGACACACACAAAAGCAGTTAGCTTGGGCCAGGGATATAGCTCAACAGTATAAGTGCCTGCCTGGCCAAGTGCAAGGTCCTGAGTTAAATTCCTGATACAAAAAGACAAAGCAAAAAAACAACCAATCAGTTGGCTTGTAACAATCACCTAATCTCTTCTCTTCTACTAACCTTCATGTTTCCCACTCCAACACACTCACGTCAAATTCGATGTCGAACTCATATTTGAGGAGGTCATGGATGTACCAGCATTTCCCAAACCACCTGTAATGAAGACCAAGCCTTCGTCCAATTGTCCATTCCTCTCACATTCAGTGATTTAGACCACCTACCTAGGAGATTCCTGGGATAGAAACTTGGGAACTCTGCAGTGTAGAACTAAAGACTCCTAAAATGGTATATTGGCAGTTTGGAGAGTGGGCTTTGGGATGCCAAACTGCTAAAACCAAGTAAGAGTCCCACCCTATACCTCCCAAGAGGGTCCCTTACCGGGTCCCTTCCTTGTTGGACTCCAGACGGAACCAATCATTATCTGCATTCTTGTTATTCTCCACATACTAAAAGTAGAAGAGGAAACTTTTGACAGGGTGTTAGGCAGCACCTTTCCCCTCAAAAGAAAAGTATAATTATTTTCTCCTTCAGTATGAATAACCAACTTTTCTGATGCAAGAAAAAATAAAGACAAGGTTATACTGATGAACTGGGGGCTTGCCCAGAGAAGAGAATGTTTCCGGTCTCATCCTATTTAGCAGTCACAAATGATTTGGAGTTACCATCTATCATCTTTTCACACTTTTGATAAAGTATACCCTCAGTTCACACCTCTATGCCCTTGATACCTCATATATACTCTGTCCCTTGATGACCTCATATATCCAAGTTTTTACTTTCATCCATGTGCTGATGACTCCCAAATTATGTTTGTTTGAGATAAGGTCTTGCAATGTAATTCAGGCTGGTCTTGAACTCATTATGCAGCACAGAGTGGCCTTGAACCCACAGTAATCTTCCTGCCTCAGGCTCCCTCATACAGGGATTACAGGCCTGTACCACCACACCTGGCTCCAAATTTTAATCTTTTATCCAGACCTTTCCTCAGACTGTCAGATTCCAATATCCAACTAAATATCATTTCATAGATACTTGAAGCTCAGAACTTCCATTTTGAATTTACTATTTCTTCAGATCTATTTCTCTTCCTGCATTCCCAATATTAGGTGGCAGTGTTAGCATTCACATAGTCACTCAAGCTAAATACCTGGGAATCACCCTTGATTTTCCCACTTCTTCACCCCACCAAATTCTTCATGATGTCCTACTGATTTTGCATTCTGAATATCCTTTAAATCTGCCCCACCACATCTGTCTAGTTTAGATTATGGTCTTTCACTTGAATTAAGGACTAACTAATTCGCCTCCCACCTTCAATTTTACTCCTGTTGACTGTATTTTTCTCTCAATCTGATCATGTTACTCCTCCTCATAAAATTCTTTGAAGGCATCTCAAGCCTATAAAAATAAAACTCAAGTACTCAAACCCATCTCCTTAGCTTGGTTCACCACTCCCTGCCTCGTATTTGGTGCTCTAGCAACTGTGAACTACTTCTTTGTATTCATGCCATCTCTAGCTTCTATTTTTATATGTTCTTGTGCCCTGAGCGTTCTTCTCCTCTCTTTTAGCAAGCTAACATGCTTGTCTTTTAAGTCTCAGCCCAAGTATTACCACTTTTAGGAAACCTTTCCTGACCATTTAAACTGGGTAAGTTATTTCTTATACTCTCAGAGTATATCAACCATTTGTTTCTCTCTCTCTCTACTGTTTTTTGTCTACCCCCGCACCACTTTATCCAGCTTTATAGCCTCTCCCTAGTGTCTTGCAGCACAGTTTAAAAATCTTTTTAACAATACTTAAGGTCGAACTGCTGTAGTGTGGACAGAGACCACACTACAAAGAAGATAAATGTGCTTCTCTTCCAATAGCAAGAATAGTTGAGAAGTTGGCAGTTTCTATCCATGAACTTTACTCCCCGATTCAACAACTAACACCTCTTTTGAGTTTTCAAACCTAGTGCGCGTTTCTCCCTCACTAAAAGTGAAGGAGGGAGCAAAATGTGTGCTGGGGCTTAGGGCCATAAGTCGTACTGTTGACCACCTCTCCGGCATCCACTAGAGTGTATACCTGGAGCGGTAGAGACACGTCACCTTCTGGGGAGGTGTCACTCCTGTTTTAAACTACAAGGTCTAGCCTCACTTAAACGTGCTCCCAACCTGAGTTTTTGCTTCTTCCTCAGTACCCATCCTTAGCCTCCCAGATCCACAGTCATTTCATTTCTATGAATTTATAAATTAAATTTTAAAACCGGAAAGGGCTTCCACACGGAGCCTATTTCTGAGGACACCTGATTTACCCGCAACCCATTTGCGACGCAGTCGTCTACAAGTGCCCAACTGACCCGGATAAGAGACTGATATTCCTCCTTCAGTCGCTGCACCCACAATTCCCGATCTCGGGGTCCGGCGTTTGTCTTCAGTACTGGGATCTCAGACACCACTCGGCGCGTAGCCTCATCCGCCATCTTGGAACAGGGCACAAGAGAAGTACGGAAGTGGTGTTGCCTGTAATGTACGGTAAGGGTGTCGCCATCTTTACTGTGGGAAGATGAGTCGGGTAAGGACATCTGTGAATATCATCTTTATCTTGCCGCAACGAAGACAAATTTGCCACCTGGTCACCCGCTTGTCGGTATGTTGGGAAAACCGGAATGGAAGAGCATCATCCTATCTTGAAGATGGCACGTATCAATAAACCTCCAGAGAGGACTCAGAGAGACTTCCGTTCATGCTCAGAGACGCAATCTCAGAAAACCCTCTGACATCTTCCCACACTTGGGGAGTCAGATAACATTTTTGACTCTTCTCGGCACCGTTCCAGGCGCTGCCTCCCTGAGACGCACGTTCACCTGTTTCTGCTTCAAGAAGACTTCCTTAGCTTACATATATAATGCAGCTGGGATAACAGAAGCTAAAGCAGTTATGGAAAAGTGTTGAGCTGATAGCTAACAAAATAGAAAACAAAATTGTCCTGAAGATTTAACACAACCGAATTAGAGAATTCTTAATAGTGCCAAAGAAGGTTATAAGTTACAAGAAAGCTTGTCTTAGATTAGCCCAATATTGGCATTCAATTGGCTAAACCAGCCAGTCTTTGGATTGAATTCATCCAAGAAGGAATTGTGTTTTATAACCAGTGATACACGATACTAATTCAGGCATGCCCCCCAAGCCTGGCTTTCTTTGTAGAAATTTCTACCTTCCAGCCTATGGCAGTAATTTTGGATCCAGTTCTGTCAATCATCACATTTCATGGCCCATCTACAAAATCGATATGCATCTTATGTCTAATTTCCCTGGCTGAAACTTCAATACAGTGTTGAATAAGAGTTGAAAATAGTTTTGTTTATTTTCTTTTTTGAGACAGGGTCTTGCTCCATAGTTCAGGTCTCACTGTGGACTCACTGTGTAACCCAGGTTGATCTCAAACTCCTGCCAATCCTCCTGTCTCGGCCTCCAGAGTATTGGGATTACAGGTGTGCACTACTCACCTGCCTTGGTCTTGTTTCTGATCAGTCTTTCTCCACTGAGTATGATGTTAGCCTTAAATTTTTCATAGATGCCCTTTATCAGGTTGAGGGAGTTCCTTTCTAGTCTTCCTGTTTTTTTTTTAATCATGTGGATATTGTGTATATTTTAAAGATTTTTTTTTTTGGTCTTTTTGAGACAGGGTCTCTTTATGAAGTTCAGGCTGGCCTTGAGCTCACTTTGTATCCCAGGCTGGTCTCAAACTCGCAACGATCTTCCTGCCTCAGCCTCTGGAGTGCTGGGATTACAGGTGTGAGCCACCACACCCGGCTAAAGACTTTTTTTCTAAGTGTGGTTTTTGTTTTACTGACATGCTGTACATATCTTTCATGAGAATATTGGATACTGGATAAAGCTAAGGAAAAGTTTTGTAAAACTTCACTTGAGATTGCTTTCCCAGTCCTTCATATGGAACTCTTGCCTCAAGATTTCTGAATATTTATTTTAAGTGGTAGAGACTGAGGTAGGACCTCACACATGCTAGGCAAGCGCCCTCCCACTAAACTGAGCTACCTCCGCTGCCTACTTACAGGCATATTCTGTGTACATTCCCTTTCTTTTACTTTTTTTTTCTTTTTCCGTTTTTATCGGTATCGGGGATCGAACTCATGACTGCCTGCTTGCAAGGCAGGCGCTTACGCCGCTGAGCTAAATCCCCAGCCCCTCTTTTACTTCTTTTGGGTCTAATATTGTAGATCTTGTATAAAACCCTCCACATTTCATCCCTGCCCCCAGTATGGCAGACTGAATTCAGAGGTGCTCTAGCACTGAGCTACATCCTTGTTCTTTTTATTTTTAAATTTTAATTTTGCTTTTGAGACAGGGTCTTATTTAGTTGAGGCTTGCCTTGAACTCACTTTGTAGCCCAGGCTGGCCTTAAACTTGTGACAATCCTCCTGCCTGAACCTTTTGAGTTTCTGAGTGCTGGTATTACAGGCAAGTGCTACCATGCCAAGCTTATTCCTTAGTTTACTTTTGCTTTTTTTTTTTTTTTTTTTTTTGGTGGGGGCAGGGGGGAGACAGGGTATTACTATGTAGTTCAAGCTGGCCTCAAACTCATGGTGATCCTCCTGCCTCAGCCTCCCCAGAGCTATCTAGGATTACAGAAGTGTGCCACCACATGGGTTCTTCATTTCTTTTTTTTTTTTTTGTCTTTTTTTCTTTTCATCGGTACCAGGGATCGAACTCATGACTACCTGCTTGCAACGCAGGCACTTATGCCACTGAGCTAAATCCCCAGCCCCTGGGTTCTTCATTTCTAAAGATAGGATTTTTTCAGTTCCCTTGTTACTGATATCCTGTTTCACTGCCATGCAGGCAACAAACGTACTTCATGGAATTTGAATTCTTTGAAATGTGTTGAAACTTGCTTTGTAGTATAATCTAACCAGTTTGTAACTTTTTTCCTTCGGCTTTTGCATGATAGATAAGCACTCTATGAGTAAGACAGATCTGGCTAGTTTTTTAGATTTTGGGGGTTTCGTTTTGTTTGCTTGTCTGTTTAGAGACAGGGTTTCACTATGCAGTTCAGGCTGGGCTTGAACTCACTGCCATCCTGACTCAGCCTCCCCAGTACTAAGATAACATGTGTGTGTTACTATGCCTGGCTTTTTATTTTTTTGAAACAGTTTCACTAAATTGTTCAGGCTGGGCTCAAAGTTTCAATCCTCCCTCACCCATCCAGGGTGCTGTAATTAACAGGCCTGTGCCACTAGGGCTGATGTTTTTTGCTACTGTGTGTATATGTATGTAGCATTTGTTTATTCATTCATTCACTTATTCATTTATGGAAACAAGGTCCTATATAGCCCAGGCAGGCTTTGAACTCAAGATTCCCTTGCCTCAGCATCTTTTTTTTTTTGTCTTTTTCATTTTTATCGGTACCAGGGATCGAACTCACGACCACCTGCTTGCAAGGCAGGCACTTATGCCGCTGAGCTAAATCCCCAGCCCCTCAGCATCTTAACAACAGATCAAAAGAAAAATTGATTAACTCTTAATCAGCTACTGGAGTTGAAGAGACTGCAATTTTTTTTTTTGGTCATGGCTGTAAAATAACAAGGAACTTGGAAAAAGTCAACCTCATGGGGGCAGCAGAGTCTTGCATAAAGAGCCTGCTGAATTACTGACCCAGTGAAACTTGTAATACTACTACTGGTTTTCTTTTGCTTTGTCATTTTGAGACAGAGTCTCACCATGCAGTGCAGGCTGACCTTAAACTCACTTTGTAGCCCAGTTTGGCCTTAAACTTGCAGTAATCCTCCTGCGTGAGCCTCCCTGGTGCTGGAATTGCAGACATACACCACTACATCCAGCTAAAATTTATAATACCACATTTCCCTGAAAAAAAAAAAATGAACTAAAAAATAAGCCTTACTGTGATTTTTCAGGATGCTGGTAATACAAACCATACCCCCCAAAATAAGCCCTAGTTAAGACTGTGAGTGAAGAGCCTGGCATGGCAGCACACACCTGTATTAAAACACTCAGCTGAGGCAGAAGTGACCTCACTGTAAGTTTGAGGTCAGCCTGAGCTAAAAAGTGAGTTTAAAGGGTAGAGTTTGGGCTTTGGAGAGTTAGGATGATGTTCTAAAGGTGGCTGTATTTGAATAATGAAGATTTTCATGCATGAATAAATGGATAAATATAAATTGTTGTGCATGAATTAGACATTCCCTAAAAATAAGCCTGATTGCATCTTTTGGAGCAAAAATGAATATAAGGCCCAGATCTATTTTGGATGAAATATGGTATTTACCAAGCACTAGGCCCTGTGCTAACACTTCTACATTATTAACATGACCATTACAACAATGATAGATGTCGTGAATGTTAGTTTCCTCTTTTATAGATGAGAAGGCAAGATTAGAGAGGTTAAGGAACTTGACCAGTCATATAAGTGCACAGCTTCAGAATGAAGAAAAGGGGACAGGTTGGGGAGACAATTGGACAACAGATTATTAAGATCCAGAAAATCAGTGTGGCCTCTATGCCTCTGCTCAGTAATGGAGACACCAGAGGGCTTACAGCTGGTTTGAAATTAAGACCTGAGACTGGGAGTCAGTGTGATCATGAATTAAAATGAATAACTGGTATAGCTTAGAGTTACTGGAGAATCAAAAACTAGAATAGACTATCGGGTTACGTTCTTGTAGAATAAAGTTCAATCCAGTGTTGGGGTATAGTCTGCTGGTAATGCATGAAGGAGGCTCTGGGTTTGATGCTCAGCACTAGAGGAAGGGAGAAGTAGAAGAATCATGGGAATATTTGTGAAAATGGGTCTACAATGGGATAGAAACTTTTTGGAGCAAATTTTTGATGAGAAAACAGTAACCCTGGCCATTTGTGGACAAGGGGTAGAAGGAAGGCCGTATCAGGAAGCAAGCCCAGTCTGGGAACTAGCGTTATGTGTTGGGTTGCTGCCAGGCTGGAACAGCCAGACCCCAGCTCCTTCTGGTATGGGTGCTGGCAAACAAGAAATACCCTCTTACCCCTGCACTGCCATAACTGACCAGCTTATCTGGAGAAACACAGGCTGTGATGATAGCTATGGAGGTGAAATGTAACTGGATGGCTGTGGTGCTTTGATGTTTCACTAACACTGCAGGTCTAGGGCCAGTGGTCTGATCGTAGGTTCAGAGGATAGTGGCAGGCAGTGTGACATCTAGGAGGGATCTCCTGAGGGTTGCAGCCTTTGTTGATTTCCTGTGATTTTGTTTTGGAAGCCCTATATCTTTTCCATTGTTTTGCTGGGTTGGATTTTATTTTCTTTTGAGAACGTCAAATCCAATGGCAGGAGCATTTTTTTTTTTTTTTGAGACAGGTCTTGCTATGTAGTTCAGTCTGGCCTTGAACTCACGTTGTAGCCCAGGTTGGTCTTGAACTTACAACGATCCCCTGCCTCAACCTATCCAGAGCTGGAATTGCAGGAGTGCACCACCACACCACACCTATTTTTTTTTTTTTTTTGGTTCCAG